ACCGCCCCCAGGGACTGTCAGCTCTGTGCGCGGCGCAGGAGGCGGAGCCACGCGGCTCAGGGACGGGGGCGGGACGGGGCGGGACGGGGCGGGACGGGGCGGGACGGGGGCGGGACGGGGGGCGGGACGGGGCTTCGGGTCAGCTGACCCTGGCTTTGCAGGCAGAACCCCGAAGCCGGGACCGGCGGCTGATCTTGACGCGGTGAGTTGGGTTTGAGGCTAGGGGCAAGCCCGAAGGCTGCGGGTGGGACTCTGGGCGTCGCTGCCACATCTTTCCAACAACCTCTTCCAGCCCCTGGACCGTCTTGGGGCTTCTGTCTGCTCCTTGGGGCGCGAGATCCGGAGACGAGCCTCTGGGCCGGGATTAGGTGGCCCTTCGGGAACATACGTCCCCCTCCTGAGCATGGTCTCTCGGACCAGCCTGGCCAGGGTTTGGGGTCTGGGTCCTCTTTTCACCTTCTGGTTCCGGGGGACGGGCCCCATCGTTTCCAACGGCTTTGTTTTCCCCAGGGCTGGCAGGGGAGGGGGCCTCGCGGCGTTTGAGCGCTGACCCCAGCAGCTGCCCTGTCATTATCCCCGACAAACAGGCGGCCCGCGCTGGCCTTAGTCACCAGGCGGCCAAGGACCCGGAGGCCTGGAGTTGGTGGTAGCCACCAGCGGGAACTCCCCTCCCCTCCACATAGGCCGTGGTTCCGCAGCGAATCCCAGATTGCCCTCTCCCCTCCTCACGCCTGGGACACGTTTGGAAGTGTGTACATGGGGAGGTTGGGGTTGGAAGTGTGAGGACTGGCTCGGGTCTTGTCCATGCAACACTTAACCGAAAGCTGCTTTGCTCCAGGGACTGGGGGGAGGGTGGTGGAGGGACACACTACAACCAAAGCAAAGTAATAAGCCATCCCTGGCTGTTACTCCTGAGTGTTTAATCTCTGCCAGGCACCATTCTAATCCCTTGGCCTGGATTATGTCATTTAATTCTGCAGTTGGTCTAGGAGGCGGGTACATACCCATTGTACAGATTGGAATTCTGAGGCTCAGTCACTTGCTCTGGAATTCTATACTTGTGGGCATTAAGCAGGTCAGTTCCAGAGTGCTCTCTCCTCAAACTTAGGTCATCTGAGCTCACAGCTAGTTTCCTTCCTTCCTTCCCTCCCTTTCCTCTCTGTCTCCCTCTTTCTCTGTCTCCTCTCTCTCCCTCAGCACTGTCTGAACCTTTACTGTGCAGCTGGTGTTGCTGGCCCCGAGAATCAGTCACAGCATTCTTCAGATATGTGAAGGGGAAGGGAAAAGGTGACAGGTGTCATCCAGCCAGCCTTTGCACGGCGTCTTTGAGATGGCACATTAGAACCCTGTCTCCTTACCAGGCCCTCCAGAGGGAGAAGGACACACTCCTAAGGGAAGAGACCGTATGTGCAGAAGCCTGGAGGCCTGCCGCTTCAGTGGGAAGCTTCTGTGGGAAGCATTTCCCTGACTCAGCTTGGGTCCAATAGAGGAGCTTGGGTGTGGCCCGAGATGCCTTCTCCATTGTAGACTTTCTCAAAGCCTGGCCACGTGCATCAGAATCAGCTGGGGTTGCCTTTGTTTCTTTCTTTTTTTTTTTTTTTAAGATTTTATTTTTAAGTAATCTCTACAGCCAACATGGGGCTTGAACTCACAACCCTGAGATCAAGAGTCGCGTTCCTTACCAACTGAGCCAGCCAGGCACCCCTGGGGTTGCTTCTTAAACCCAAAGTTCCTGATCTGAAGTCCAGAGAGACACTGAGCCTGAATTCTGGGCATGTGCCCTGCGAGGTTCCAAGGCACCCACCCCTGCTGTGGTCCTTGTCAAACCTATGGACGCAGTCAAGGTTTGTTGCAACCCTGGACATCCATCCTCGAAGTGCTGTTTGACCAGGAGGTGGGCCCATTCCCAGAAGCCAGGCCTGGGGCCCAGGCTGGCTCCCTAGCTGGGTCAGAATCTCCAGATGATGGGCCCTGTGTGCAGCGGCCCCCAGAGGAAGGCCCCTTCTGGTCGGGATTCAGGCGTGTCTGAGTGTCCCGAGCTGCGCATATGCCCTGTGCAAGATCAGGGACCACCCACCCCGTGCTCTGGGCCCTGTGAGCCAAGCTACAATCCTCCAGACACCCCCTTCCCTCACTGGGCATGTGTTCACTTCATTTCCTCCTAACCTGGTGAAAAGGAAGCGAAAGAGTGGCCGCAGGGTCGTTGAGCTCCTGGACTCTCATCCTCACAACAGCCTCCAGCCTGGTTCGGTCAGGCCCGGGGCGGAGAGCCTTCCTTCTGTGCATTTCATCTGCACCGCCAACCCCAAGGAGCCGGGGTCATCATCCCCATTTTACAGACAAGGCTCAGACAGGTTCCTCACTCAGCCAAGGTGACCCAGTCTTACCTGGTAAATGGGGGCAATCTGCCCCACCTCACAGGGAAGATACGAGGGTGGCTGTGTATTACTGTGATGAAAGGGACGGGCTCACTCAATCTGTAAGAGGGCGACGGCGGGGGGTGGGGTCCTGTGCGGGGGTGGCCAGGCCTGGGGCCCAGGCTGGCTCCCTAGCTG